TAGTCAATTTGTTGCTTCTCCTACTACAGTTCATTGGGTAACGGTTCTTCGTATTTTGAGGTATCTTCGGGGTACAGTCTTTCAGAGCCTTTTACTTCCATCCACCTCTTCCTTGGAGCTGTGTGCATACTCTGATGCTGATCATGACAGTGATCCCATAGTTTGCAAATCTGTTACTAATTTCTATATCTTTTTGGGTGATTCTCTTATTTCTTGGAAGAGCAAGAAACAATCTATTGTTTCTCAATCTTCAACTGAAACAGAATATCGTGTTATGGCATCTACTACCAAAGAGATTGTTNTGTATTAGGAGCATTTATTGCCTTTCATTTCCGAACCTTACCGCATTGAATGCGGTCTCATCAAGGGAATAGTGCAATTAATCGTTTGCTTTCTCAAGTCGCGTGTCAGCAACGGCATGCGGTTTCTCTGTCTTCGATGTGATATCATACGCCACGCGTCCATCCCCNTGGCACCATTACTTTGCCCTTTGTTTCTTCTTCTTTGCAGATTGCAGATTTCTTTACCAAGTCGCATTCTATTTTTCGTTTTCGTTTTCTAGTTGGCAAACTCTCGATGCTTGTCGCTGCTGCATTGTGAGTTTGAGGGGAGATGTTAAGAAATATAGGGTTATTTTGTTGATTAAGGGTATAATAGTTCTTTACTTTCCCTGCCTTGTTTAGCTTATATATAGTCTCTTTGTATTTAGGTTAAATTACTTCCTTGTATTTCAATTCAATTATTTAGTATCAATAAAACCCTAGCCTCTTCTTTTCTTATCTCTTATATTTCTTTAGATTGTTCAACAGATATTACCGGATCAGTGCCCACAATTCAGTGCTCAAGAACCATACTCATTTGGTGGTGTATTAGAATTTTATTCATTCTTACGTCTTGGACTCATACAACTCTTCTATGTGAGTATACTTTTGATATCATATCCTATACTTTTGTTATTCATGTTTTTGCTTACTGTTATTCAACTCAACAAATCGTTTGTGGTTTACTTACTGTTTGTTATTCATGTTTTTATTTTGGGGACCATTGCATTGGTATTTGCATTCTCTTTTAAATATTATGTGTGTGATGTGAAATAACCGATGTGTGGCACAAGCTTTTCATAGGTGGAAAAACCAGAACAAGTAGTGAATGATTACTTATTGAGCTTACGCATGCACCATATAAATGGTTCTTATTTAGACAGTGGGTTTGTCCCATTATTTTTAGTCATTCATCATGTTCAACCCCCTCTACTATAAGCTAATTCTATGCATAAACTTACGACAGTTTCTTACAAGAACTATTTATATGAAAAACAGTTAAACAAAGGCATAAATGTGTATCTTTATATGACTAACGTTTTCATTCATTCAGTCAACTTATAGCACACACTCTTTCTGGAAGGAATCCTCAGGTTCCCAATCTCACACATCAATAGCAACAATATCTGGATGAACCAGATTTGAATAAAGCTTCATTTCATAAAGGTGATCAAGAGAGCACTAATCATTCTTTTTAACATTGCCCTGCTTTGTTGTCATTGTGGTATGAGTAGTTTAACTTGGCGTGTACGAGTTCAGTGATTCCCCCGTCATATCTAACCCTTTTTTTGTCAAATATTTGAAAGGTCTAGAGTTTTTTGATATTGGTGTGACTCTTTTGAATTATGCTATCCTTGCCATTTGTTAGGTTATTTGAAAGGAGAGGAATGCAAGAATTTTTTAATTCACGTGATCACAGGATGGGTAGATTAAATTCACGTGTTTGATAAAATTTCTCAGAGTTGTGAACAATCACGTATTTGTGCATGTTTCTCTTATGTTAAACTTAATTGATTTGCTTAATGCTCTCAAAAAATTGGCATGAACCACTAGCAAAAAAGTTGAGGTTTTGTGTTTTTTTTATTTTGCTTTTATTTTTTATTTTTTTTTTATTTTGATAATATATGAGAATTGTTGATCTACAGGTGGTCGAAGCATTGATCGATGACTTCTATTTAAAGTTGCANATATTGCTGGGATAGTGTAAAGGGCATTCATAAAGATATGCAGTTCAAACACAAATGGTATCAACAAAATCAACATCCATATCCTGGAAACCAACATGATCAACATATGCATCAACCATAGATGAGTACCCAATGATTCATATCATGCTCCAGTGGCATTTATAATAATAAGTGCGCAAATACCAAAGATANGTGAATACAAGAAGCTAAGATTGGGGTACACTTCTTGGTATTGACATTTGGAAATCATTCTTTTATATGAATTGTTCGAAAATTGGGTTACCTCTTCTAAGCTAAATCATTCTTTTATAGAGTTGCTTGATTGAATTTATATTGATGTTTAGAGGCTATGATGTGTTTTTAGCAATTTTACAACAAAATAAATATGTGTATTTAACAAATATTTCTAATTTTTTGTATTTAACAAAATGAAATGTAATTTAATACCTCTTGCTTGATTTTTTGTTCATTCGTTGAGATAGTGATTGATTTATATGTAGTTGTCATTAATTGAGATAGCCAAAATGGATTTATTTTAATTTTTTAAAAATCTTATGTTCTATTTGTCACTTTTACAAGTATGCATATAGTTGTTTGTGTAGGAAGAATGGTGCTGTGGTAATTGGTACATAGTTGAATTTCAGTTTGTATATAACATGATTTGATTATAATAATGAAATATATAAATTTTGTAAACAGATTGATATATTTGTGGTATCATATTTTCAGAGGATACTCTGTCAAAAAATTGAAAATTTCTTACAGAGTATCCACATTTTGATAGAGTATTCATATTTTGACCCTTTTTATTTTACTAAAATCATGACATTAAAAATGACCAAAACAATTTTCAGCTTAATGCATATTTATATTCATTATTTGATTATTTCGTGTTTAAGAACTATGTACAGTGCTTTCAGACACGTGATATAGGGCGAGTTTAGACTTTCAATTTAGTGTGTGTCCAAATTTAGTGCTTGGTTATTTTGCGTTCAAATTCAATTTTTGATTTTTTTAGTTACACTGTGCCTTCAGGCACGAGTTATCCCTCATATATATATATATAAGAGTATTATCTATACATACAAATTTATATAGATTACTTTTATTATTTAATGATGGAATATAATTTTTATGATTTAATTTTATGTTTGTTTAAGTTTTTCTCTTTTTTAAAAAAACAATATGGGATTGGCTCAAACGTAGTGAGGATATTGGCGACGCAATGGCAAGTTGTTTGACGTATTTTGAATTGTGGAAGTGCTGAAGTCTGAGTGAATTTAAAATTTTCAAATACTATGACTTTATTTGAATTGACGTGAGAGATGATTGGAATGAGGCGTAAAAACTACCTCTATATATATATATTTTTTCTGTCTTGGAGATCAAGGACTCAAACTTATTTTTTTGGGAATAGGCTAACGAATTGAGAGAACAAAGATGAAATTGAATTGAAACGAACAACAATGAGCATAACAAGATGGAATTATTGTATTGAATACTATACTTGAAATAAACTACAAGAGGTGACTGGAGTGACGATGAAAGTCAGAATAATAAAAAAAATGAAGGAAATTAAAAAGTATAGAATGGTCTGAGATACTATTTGAAAAATTGTTGATCGACAAATCTCTTCTCAATTATCTATATCTCTGTATTTATAGGCGGTGTTGGAGTCTTCTTTTTCGATCACTCAAACTATACTCATGGACTATTTTCTCAATGGCTATATGTGACTTAAGTCCCTATAATCTTTAAATTGACCGTGGACTTCATTAAACATTAAAATTTAGTGTTGATCTAATGATTCTAATGAAACCACGTCATTAAGTCAACAAATTAAGTAAAATTTTCAGAAATATGAAAACCAGGTAGAGCTCATTCTTCTTTTTATGACGAGAACAGTTTATGTGAACCTAAGATGCATGAAAAACTTCTTTCAAAAACTACACATAGGAGGAGAGTATTCTCAGAACCAGTTAACCGAATCATGAAGACTAGTATAGTAGTATGCAAACCCAAGTTCCTACAACGTTGTCATATCATTCCAGGCAATTTCAGAGGACGACCAATGTATGTGGGCTCTCTCTCGATCTCAACACAGACCCAGGTAATTCTACGGGACTAGTGGTCTCTCTCTCTCTCTCAAGCTGTGCGTCCGTAGCTCAAGAGTGAGTATGCAAATTGATATGACAAGTCTATAGGCACCTGGTATTGAGATACCTACCTATAACAAGAATCACATTATCACAGTAAACACGTGATTCCCATTCCTTTCAGATGTGGATCCAAACAAGGGTAAGCCAGGTAATCGGAATCAGGTTTGCTATTACAGAATACCCATTCATCAACACCACCCAACCAGCAACCATTTGCAGGTAAGAAGAGACCCTCTGGGCTCATCCCTTGGAAAGGAAACCTGGATACTTGTAATCACTCACAAACCACAAATAAGCCTAGAACCACTAAGAGGTACGAATGTATGGCACCCGAGAGTTAACTCATGTTGGGGGTAAGATTTATTGTTTTGATATTAGCTAGTCATCCACAAAAGCAGAAGCGTCAATCGGCCTCCACTTTGGTTCCGCCAGTGATCCCACAGGCCCATAATCTCAGAACACAGTGAAGAGAATTTGTTTCTTTTTCCCGGTAAGTACAGCGGAGGTGGTGTTGATAGTACTACCTATTCCCCCTGAAAGGATTGTTCAGAAGATCCCCTACTAAGAAAATATTGCTGGGATAGTGTAAAGGGCATTCATAAAGATATGCAGTTCAAACACAAATGGTATCAACAAAATCAACATCCATATCCTGGAAACCAACATGATCAACATATGCATCCACCATAGATGAGTACCCAATGATTCATATCATGCTCCAGTGGCATTTATAATAATAAGTGCGCAAATACCAAAGACAACCATGGCAAAATGCAATCCCAAGACTGGAAATAGTTCTTCAGAGAACCCCATGATGCTGGGTAATAGGCTGGTTACTCCAACTTCAGAAGTTCAATCTCAAAAATCAGAACCGAGTTAGGCTCAATACCCCATGTTGGGAATCCATTTGCACCATAAGCATAGTCAGGAGAGCACTGTTCAATTGAGAAATTAATATCAAAAGTTAAACATAGTAATTTTGCACTAGTTATACCCAACACAAATAGAAACAGAAATAAAAAACATTCAAGTAAATGACATAAAAAAAAAAAAAGCATGGGACGGTTTGATCACTCCAATGCACACCTAATTCCAATCTCCCATCATATCAAAGAAAAAGAAGGAAAAAATTAACCTAGGCTAAAAGACTTACCTTCATTGGGGCACTCAGATATATTTGAAGCACGCATTGGAAAAAAAAATTGAGAATGAATGGACATTATTAATTTTAGTTGTTCATTTGAAGGTTTGACAGAGGGCGAGTTAGACAAGGAAACTAAGCATCAGGACAGATGGAATAAATTCTCTTTTCGTTTCAGTGGAAAAACGTAAAATGTTTCGATTTTAGTTGAATTGGAAAGAAAATGCATGACTATTTTCGAAGTTACCACATTTCATTTGTAATGTGAAATGGTTCAAATGTGATGATTATATATCGTTTTTAGGTAATTTTGAATCAATCAATACCTTACCGTTTAGTTTTTTTTTCTTAGTTTCTTATATTATGTTGGGCTAAAATACATTAAATGTTGCATTTTTCATTTAAACAATATCATTAATTATAAATTACATTATCACATTATTCTATATATTTCTATAAATTTACAATGTTTCTAGTGCGTTTCTAATACATTTCCGAAAGCGAGAAACGAAACTTTAAACTATGTGAGGATATTGACCAAGTAGAAGGGCTCACATTCACTAACTGAGCCGTTACACTACTACAAAATGTTACCTACTTGATAGCTCAATGTCCTTACTTAAAAAAATTCATGTGAAAGGGATGACACACAAGTTAGTTAAAAGTTGCAGAATAATTAAGCCAACATATTCAAATATTACCCTCAACCGAGCAAATTCTCCCAATTGCATTCCCATCACGCCTTCATCCCATCCTGCAAAATAGGATGAAAAAATCATCGGAGTGAGTAAAAGTGTAAAACTACATGACCTTGTTTACAATATTTTTTCCCCATCTACAAGGTTCAACTCATTTAACTCAATTTATACGAAAAACAATATATTTTTTATGCAAGTTGCATTTACCAAACTAATATATATATATATATATATATATATATATAGAGAGAGAGAGAGAGAGAGAGAGAATCCAACCCTATTTTTTAGCATGTGGCAAAGGATCCATCACATATAGTTGATGGTGGGATAACTATGAAGCACGAACACTTAGTCAAAGTCGACATATCCGTATCGAAAATAATACTCGTCAAATACTCAAGAATACATATCCAATAATCAATAAAATAGATAGATANTCCAACCCTATTTTTTAGCATGTGGCAAAGGATCCATCACATATAGTTGATGGTGGGATAACTATGAAGCACGAACACTTAGTCAAAGTCGACATATCCGTATCGAAAATAATAATCGTCAAATACTCAAGAATACGTATCCAATAATCAATAAAATAGATAGATACTTTATGAATACTTTTAAACATGGAGCAAGATGTACAATTTTTTATTTTAAATTATATTCTTTTATTTTGATTTCATATACAATACAAAACATTCAATTTCATCGAGTGCTTTTAAAGTATTATTTACTATTACATGTCAAAAGATTATAAAAAAAAAATGAGTTAGTTACACTATAAACATAGAAACAAATACTTGTAAACAAACCAACTAGTTAAATGTTGGTTCTAGATTGTTTAATTGATTCGCTTTATAGAAATATCATAATGAGATGATATTATATCTTTTTCAAGATAAACATACCTAATTTCAATTACTATTGTTAAATAATTATTAAAAATTATAAATTTAAATCATAAAATAATAATAAAGTGTAAAATATATTTTCTTATAGATGTATTATGATCGTATCCTATTTTTTCTAGTTTTGTTGTAATGTTGTATCAATATAATATCATATCCGTATCCGTGGGATAGTGATGTCGAAACTTGAAGTTAATTATTCATGGTTCTTTATAATCTTTCTTCCATAGTTAAACTACTCCCAAAAACAGAGGACAATCATGATTAAAGTAACATTAACAGACCTGATTGTTCAAGTAACTAGACAAACACAAATTTACAGTTTGATAAAAGAGAAAGAAAGAAAGAAGCATATAAAAAAATGAAGATTCTTCTAAAATTATGATCCCAATGTTGTAACTTAACAATAAAACCTGCACACTACTATAGTAATGAGAAAAATAATGACTTGTAAGTTCTATCATGTATCAATCTCAATCACATCAGTTCAAAAAAAAAAATCAATCAAATAGCATCCTCTCCCGCTCCACTTTATTAAAGACAAAGTAACCTTCCACTTTAAATTGCTTGTAACTCTTTACAAGGCAACAAGTACATTTTCACTAGATTTAAGACACACATATTGTGTGCATTCATCAGTTTTGCATTTTGGCAGTAGCATACTAACTTTGCCAACCAAACTACCAAAGTGATCATTTGCTAGCATATTGATCCAATAGAAATAATGGAATTGATAAAATTAATATTCCAATTCAAAATTTTATCTCCCCTCACCCTCTTCCACTATTCTCCATTTTCTTCTATTTCAAATTCCAAATTTCCTGCTAAACAGTTCTCCAAAAAAAAAAAACCATTTTTTTCTCAACCAAAATCCCATGCTCATAATAAATATTCATCATAACAGTTACACCTCGTTAGTAGTATCCCTATCCTATAGAAAACCTATAAAATGGATAATGTAAATCTCACTTCTCTACATGAAATAGTTATTATATTATATGGATAGATGGTTATCGAATGTTGTGGGGTTCACTTGCCCTTGTTCACTCACTACTGAATGACATGACGATGATACCATGGCGTAATACTGATATGGAATAACCGTTATATTAATTATTTTCTCCACGCTCTGCACCCAATTAACAGTGTCTCCATCTCCCAACATAATTAATCCAATTTTAAGAAACCCAGTACCAACAAACTGCCATATCAACTTTAATTCACATATACCCAATAAAAATAATAGAATTGAACATGTGAAAAACGTAATATTAGCAGCGTAATTACCTCTGATAACAGAGCCTTGGCCAATTTTGAAGGTGAAAGGCGTCTGCCCAGGATCCTTTGTGCTATTACATCAACAACACAAAAAAAAAAAACCCCGGATTCAAGATCCATCACAAAACCAACCTAAAACCAAAAACTAAACTCCAAAAATAGATAATCGTAATTCATACCTCCAGAACTTCTGAGAGAGATCACCATTTTTCCCTGCATTTGAAACGAAAAAATTAAGCTAACACGGTGAATTTCACTTCAATCAGAGAGAGAGGTGGAGGGGGCTGACCAAAACCGGTGCAGTGAACGGTGACATTCTGACCGGCGGTAGGTTTTGCACCGGTTCCCTCTCGGATAAGTTCCTTTTCCACTCCCATTTCTCTCTGCTACTCTGCTGCTGCGTGCGGCTAATAGTTTCTAGTTTCGACTCTATTCTAGGGTTAGGATGAATTTCACTTTATATCTCCAAAAATTTTAAATTTGTACTTTTTACTTTTAAAGATTAATTTTTTTATATTATACTTTTTTTTATCGTAAAAAAAAAGTATAATATAACAAATTTTTGTATAAAAAAAAGTATAATATTATACTTTCAATATATTAAAATTTTGTATTAATTTTAGTTATTTATTTTGTTAGGGTCAATAGGATAATTTTTGACGGAATAAATAACAAAGAGATTAAAAAAAGGTTATATTGTAATCCTTTTAAAACATTAATAGTATAATATTAAAATTTTAATCTTTAAATGTACAAATTGATAATTCTTAAAATTTTAAAGTACAAAGTATAATTTTCCCTCACATTAACAAAAATTTATTTTAGAAACTTCACAAAAATACACCTTAGACGAACTTCACAGACTTCTTTTTCTGTAATTATGTAATTTAAAATTAAAATAAATATGAAAAAAATAAAGCATAGGTAAGTGTAGATTAATGACGTTGCTTGATTGTGGAAAGTTTGTTGGTTGAGTTCTCTAATATTATGGGCCGTGTAAAAAAATTAATATTTTTTGGAGAAAAAAAAATTGAGATAAATTTTATACTATTGAATCAAAATAGACAAGAATTCAATTTTTTCACTATAATATTATATAGATATATCGACACATGATTTAATTATTAGATTGATACACAACTTAAATACAACACAAAATTGTATGAGATCGATTCATAATCATTGACAACTTCACAATTATTAATTTTAAATAGTGATGCCCAAGCCCAGGGAATGGAGGATTTTAATTTCGTTGTTAGAGTAGATTCAATAGATTTGGGTTTTCTAATCTGATTTAGTACAAAGAAGATAAGTGGTTCGTTTTAGCCAATGGACCGAGGGTACCTCCACTGTAAGGGAGTCTCTTGCTCTCACTTGTTATGTATAGAGTTTTTGTTGAATGTAGTCGAATTATAGACTCAAGAATGTTTACAAAAAGAGTGGATTTGATCACAGAGTTTTCTATCTGATTTTCGAGAGAGGAGCCTCCTTACTCTTTGTAAGGCACTGTTCTTAATATATGAGTCATCTTTATTAGGGTTCATAATGGTATCTCCTGCCTTTTTGTTGGTCCTGTGGGGACCTCTTGTCCTTGTCCTGCAAAAGCCTTTTTTCATCATTTCTCCAGTACCCATGATCTCTGGGACCTCAAGTTCCACCATCCTCTGTGTCCAGGAATGCACAGCTGCAGCTGCTTCAGAGATGGTCCCGTTGTCCTTTGGGCACATGACATATTTGGGTTGTGTTAGGGGCGAATGATCTGTTTCTTCTTTGGGCTACTGTCGGGCTGGCCCTTGATTGGGCCTGGGCTAAACTTTTATCTTTCTGATTCCCACTGGATTTTCTTCGATTTCACTGGGCTAATCCAGGACTTTCTTTCTGGGCCGTAAGACCTTTTGACCTGTTTCTTGGCAGCCCATGCTCAAAATTCCACCATCATCAGTTGCCCCCCAGCCCCCTGGTTATGAGGATGACATCACCCCAGACCTGGGGTTAAGGATATCCTTTCCTATGTTGAGGGTGTGTCCGATAGTTGGTCCTGACATGATTTGGGCTGTACTAGAGTCTGTCGTTTATGATGGCTTGGACACGTGTCATTTGCGGGTGATCCAGCAGGTGCAGGTTCCTTGGCGTGTCCCATCGCCTGTCAGTTGTGGCTTTTAATGTTGTGTATATTAAAGGGTGGGAAACTCCTCCCCTTCCCACTTTACATCTCTAATTTTCTGGAAAAACCCTTTTTTTTTTGCTTCCCTTCTATTTCCTTCTGCATTCAAGGCATCGTCTTCTTGGCTCTTCGGTAACCTAGGGCTCCTACTTTTCCAGTTCTCCTTGCTTCTAGCGTCTTTACTAGGTACGTCTCTCTTCCCTTCTTCTTCTTTTCTGCTCGACATGGATCCCTTTGATCCTCCTTTGTGGGGTCTTGGGTTTCGCTTCCTGGTTTGGAGGTTCAGTTATTTTAGGAGTCGTTCCAATGACCTTCCTTTTCTTTTGATGTTTGTGGACCCTTCCAGCACAGCTAGGATATCTTTTCTTAGGGACTAATGTTTTAGGCCTTTGTCTTTGATAGNACAGCTGCAGCTGCTTCAGAGATGGTCCCGTTGTCCTTTGGGCACATGACATATTTGGGTTGTGTTAGGGGCGAATGATCTGTTTCTTCTTTGGGCTACTGTCGGGCTGGCCCTTGATTGGGCCTGGGCTAAACTTTTATCTTTCTGATTCCCACTGGATTTTCTTCGATTTCACTGGGCTAATCCAGGACTTTCTTTCTGGGCCGTAAGACCTTTTGACCTGTTTCTTGGCAGCCCATGCTCAAAATTCCACCATCATCAGTTGCCCCCCAGCCCCCTGGTTATGAGGATGACATCACCCCAGACCTGGGGTTAAGGATATCCTTTCCTATGTTGAGGGTGTGTCCGATAGTTGGTCCTGACATGATTTGGGCTGTACTAGAGTCTGTCGTTTATGATGGCTTGGACACGTGTCATTTGCGGGTGATCCAGCAGGTGCAGGTTCCTTGGCGTGTCCCATCGCCTGTCAGTTGTGGCTTTTAATGTTGTGTATATTAAAGGGTGGGAAACTCCTCCCCTTCCCACTTTACATCTCTAATTTTCTGGAAAAACCCTTTTTTTTTTGCTTCCCTTCTATTTCCTTCTGCATTCAAGGCATCGTCTTCTTGGCTCTTCGGTAACCTAGGGCTCCTACTTTTCCAGTTCTCCTTGCTTCTAGCGTCTTTACTAGGTACGTCTCTCTTCCCTTCTTCTTCTTTTCTGCTCGACATGGATCCCTTTGATCCTCCTTTGTGGGGTCTTGGGTTTCGCTTCCTGGTTTGGAGGTTCAGTTATTTTAGGAGTCGTTCCAATGACCTTCCTTTTCTTTTGATGTTTGTGGACCCTTCCAGCACAGCTAGGATATCTTTTCTTAGGGACTAATGTTTTAGGCCTTTGTCTTTGATAGATTGTGCCCTACATTTGCCTTCCTTGCATTCTAACTTGTCAGTGGAGTTTGTGATGGGGAGGTTCGTCGTTACTTCTTCTGAGTTAGATTCTGAGGGTCGGGCCAATGAGGAAGTCAGTACTTCGGGTTCCTCTAGGGTTCCCTCCTTAGATTTTGAGGGTCGGGCCAATGAGGAAGTCAGTACTTCGGGTTCCTCTAAGGTTCCCTCCTTTATTGTCGGTGAGGTGGCCTTAGGGTCTGCCCCCGGGGTTTCCTCCTCATCCCCCCTCGACGACGTTCATCCTCTTTCATCTTTGGCTCCTGCTGCTCCTACTCAATAGGGGGAGGGGAGGCCCAAACCGACTCCACCTTTTACTTCTAGGGGGAAAGTTCGCCGAGATCAATCCAACCTGACATGTTGCGCTGATCGGACTTCTAGTTGTCTTAAGGATGACGACTTAGAGGAACTGAGGCGATATTATCATTTTATCGACTCTGTAAAGTTGCATTCGCCCAAGAAACATGAGAGACGCAATTCTTCTCTTCCCGGGCTGACCTGTTTCTTCAAGTCAGCGTTCCAGGCTGGCCTTCGATTCCATGTTCATCCTAGATGTCCTTGGTTTTTACAACGTTTGTCCCGCCCAACTTTCTCCTAATGGTTGGGGTCTTCTTGTCAGTTTCTTCATCCATTGGTTCAAGAGTGGGAACGACTCTTCCCCCACTATTTGAGAGTTTGACTTCCTCTTTCAATTGAAGTATTCCCCGTCACTGGGCTTTCTGTACTTTGCTAAGAGGGTGAAGGTGAAATATCTGATTTTTAGGCTCCCTTCTTCTAACAAGGGGTGGAAACCCAAGTTTTTCTTTGTTAGGAGAGATTCTTAGGAGTTGTCGGGAGAGCTCGGCGACATTCCTCATGTTCCCCGGGTCTTGGGGGGTTCCAAGGAATACACGTAAGGCTGATCTTGCGGTGTGTGCTTCTTATCTTTGCTTTTATTCCACCATCTAAACTGTCATTTTGGCCTGGTTTGTAGATTTTTACCCAGAGCTCAACGTGGAGGAGGCCATCCGAGTCGCTAAGGCGGAGGCTTTGGGGTTGCAATCCTTTTTTGACTTGGTAATCGACCAGAATCTAGCGACTTACGAGCTAGGGCCGGCCGTCAATCAACCTTCAGAAATCGTATTATCACCTGTCCCCCAGCCTAACCCAATGGATCAAGATTTGATAATGTCGATGTTCTCCGATACCGAGGAGTCGAGGAAAATGAGGAGGCTAATGAAGGGGACACAACCGTTCTCCAAGGAGGCATCTGTTTCCGGGCCATTGTCCATTCCCTTGAAGGAGAAAAATGAGGACCCCCATTCTCGTGGGGATGCCGATGTGCATACGTCTTTTTTCGACCGCTCCAAGGGTCGTTCCCACCGAGAAGGGTGTACTGCGGACAAGCTTGGGGCGTCGATTACTGATCCTACCCCTTCCAACTTGGCTTCTCAGAAGGGTGAAAAGGGAGAGCCCACCACCTTGACACCCAAGGTGTAGGGCAGCGGCTTCCTTCGCGATCCTGAGGCGGCGGTGACAACTCTATTCGAACTAATCTCTACGTCAGATCCTAAGATGGCTATGTAGGTTCCCTTTCAGATGAAACTTCATCATACCATCCAAGGCTTGGCTGAGGTATTTCTCATTGTCGTTTGTGTTTTTCGCTTCGTTGCCTTTGCATTTTTTGCCCGTGTCATATGTTTACCTGCTTTTCCTTTCTCCTTATAGTCACTCGCCTATGTGAAGATGATGGCTTTTCACCTTGGGCAGGATCTTTGTGAAGCTAAAGAGGCACTCGATGTCATGATAGCCAGCAAGGACAGCGCCGAGGAAAAGGTGAAGATTTTGGCGAGCGAAGCCGTCGAGATGAAGAGGATTAATGACGAGCTTAATGGTCATCTCCAGGAT